GTTAATGATTTTATTTTAATACTGTAATCTGTTTTTATTTGTGCCCAATAGGAGGAGAGAAAGATTATCAAAAGCAACTAAAACAAATGCTGAAAGACTTGGCCAAAGAAAAAGAAAAAAACACAGAAATAGAATTGCCCAAAATGACTCAGGTACAATATTCTTGCAGACAGTGTTTTCCTCTGGGTTATTCAGTTAGTTCTGAGAGCAATTATCTGTTTCCACATCCCACTTAGAGTTAAAACATTTATCTCCACATATATAGTTGAGTATACCCCCATACAGGTTTAGTGTCCCTCTCCACTCTGTGCATAACACTCAGAGTTTAGTAAACAGAAGAAAAGACATTGAATAGATTGAGAGATGGCCTTCAAATGCCTGCTAATGGAAGTAGACGCCCAGTTTTTTTATACTAGATCACAGCAAAATTATTAGGTATGTACATATTTATATATTGTCTACATTTTCCTTTACAGAGAGAATTCATACAGTTCTGCAAAACACTGTACAGCTTGTTCCTCACTGACCCCGAAGAAAACGATTTGTATCAAGCGATTGCCACTGTGACTACTCTGCTTCTACAAATTGGGGAGGTTGGACAACGCAGCAGTAGCTCTGGGAGTAATTCAGACGAATTCTCCAATGTCGACTCTGAGAATGGCGCTTCCACCTCTGACCAGGATTGCGTGTTCTCTGATACAGTGAAAGCACCCTCGCATTCCTCCCAATCTTTGTCGCTAAGCGAGGCAGTCTGGGCGGTGTCCTTCGAGCACATTCTGGCCTCTCTTTTGACTGAGCAGTCCTTGGTGAATTTCTTTGAGAAGCCCTGGGAAATTAAACCAAAACTCGAATGTGCAAAAAACAACCCTTACAGCCTCAAAACCAGTGGGATGAGCCAGCAGTCATGAAGCTCAGTACCCAAAGCTATCTTTCTTAAATTCATCATTTCTTTCATCATTTCATTTTCTGTGACAGCCTATGTAAAGGAAAGACAAATGACTTGCACCACATTAACATCTGTATAAAAATAACAGTTTTGCAGCAGCTGTGATAATGCTATGTTTCTCAGTGAACCTTCTGTAAAGGTATTGTGATAAGTATTTTACTGAGCTCTTCAGCCATTTAATCCAAATTGTTACAGGCTCAGGGATGAGTAAGTTACCTCTGGCACCCAAGCTGTCATGGCCTACAAATAACCATTCTACTTTACCAGCCAGGACGCGGGGTCCAAAGCAGCAAGAATGCCAGACATTGCCTATCTATTTCCTACTGTTCCTTCATGGACATTAAACTAAAGCAGTTATCTTAATAGGAATGGGACATGTCACCTATATATGTGCTGCTAATTATCATTGTTCTGTGACACCTGTAATTGTTGGGAATATGTCTTAAGTATGACAATGATAGACGTTAGTTATGTTTTCTATGTAAAGACTTGTGCATGAAAATGCTAGGGAGGAAGTGTGGTTTCTGATAAATGATTTCAAGAGAAGATTGGTGGCACTTGAACAGGGTCAATAGCTTAAAGGACCACTATAGTGCCAGGAAAACATACTCGTTTTCCTGGCACTATAGTGCCCTGAGGGTGCCCGCACCCTCAGGGTCCCCCACCCGCCAGGCTGGATGGAGAGGAAGGGGTTAAACTTACCTCTTTCCCCAGAGCCGGCTAAATGCGCGTGCGTGGCAGAAGCTGCGCGCGCATTCAGCCAGTCCATAGGAAAGCATTCACAATGCTTTCCTATGGACGCTGGCGTCTTCTCACTGTGATTTTCACAGTGAGAAACGCGGAAGCCCTCTAGCGGCTGTCAATGAGACAGCCACTAGAGGCTGGATTAACCCTAACATAAACATAGCAGTTTCTCTGAAACTGTTATGTTTATAGAAAAAAGGTTAACCCTATATGGACCAGGCACCCAGACCACCTCATTAAGCTGAAGTGGTCTAGGTGCCTATAGTGGTCCTTTAAAGCAGCAGGAAACGCTAAAGGAAGTATTCTAGAACAATAGCTCATATGCAGTTCACTGGTGGGACTGGGGAAGTTCCAGAACTATTCTTTACTCTGGAACACAAGTCACCAAAGCACAATAGACGTTTTGTCAGTCTTAGTTTCTTTCACGTTTTGTTTTTCCATTTATAATTTTTTCATTTTCTATTTTGTTTTATAAGCAGTTCTGCAACTTTGAGATAAAGCTGTTTCTAATCTGTGATTAAATGTCCAGTACTGGCATGCCAAACATTTCTTGTAGTAGGAATTTTTTCCCGAGTCTTGTTGTCAAATGTTCATTGTTTTGTCTATGTAAGTTTAAGTTCCTTTTGCGTTTGTTTGCACTAATAATGAAAACGTTTCAATGCTGGAAATTGGAACTTTTATTATATATGATTTGCATTGGATTTTTTATGTCGTTAAAAAAAAAAAATAATCACTTAACCTCGTGCTTTACATCTTGTTCTGTGAGAATGTGCACTTTTCAATAAACATGTTTTTTATTGTATTTTATGTTTCCTTTTAATTTGTTAATCTTTCCTACTGGTGTTTTAGTTATCAAGAATGTAAAATATTATAATGAACACTGCATTGAGCTGTGTGCTTCTGTTCTGATGACAGTGCCATGCATAACATCTTTTTGTGAAGCTTAACTAACAGCCTGCATCTGACACCATTTAAAGAACCGCTAAAGGCACCCAGACCACTTCATCTCAATCAAATGGTCTGTGTGCAGTGGTTCATTCATTTTTACCCTGCGTTGCTGTTTTGTTTCCGGTAAATAAGAGTCAGACTTTGGTTATTCAATCAATCTCCCACTGAGCATTTGATTGGCGCTGTGTTATACTGCCCCCTTCCACAAATTGAGGAGGTTGGACAATGCAGGAGCAGCTCTGGGAGTACTCAGACAAATTCTCCAATGTCGACTCTGAGAATGACGCATCCACCTCTGACCAGGATTGCATGTTCTCTGACACAGTGAAAGCACCCTCACATTCCTTCCAATCTTTGTCGTTAAGCGAGGCAGTCTGGGTGGTGTCCTTTAAGCACATTCTGATCTCTCTTGACTGAGCAGTCTTAGGTGAATTTCTTTGAGAAGCCCAGGGAATATAAATCAAAACTTGTATGTGCAAAAAACAACCCTTGCAGCCTCAAAATCAGTGGGATGAGCCAGCAGCCATGAAGCTCTATACCCAAAGCTATCCTCATTAAATTCTTCTTTCATTTAATTTTCTGTGACAGCTTATGTGAAGAAAAAACAAATTACTTACACCACATCTTCCCAATTGGTAAACACTAAATTATCTTCAGTAAGGAGACGGGATGGGCATTATTGACACTGTTTCAGAGAAAATGCAGTGTTTACATTACAGCCTAGTGATAACTCCACCGGCCACTGTTTCCTGTGGCAGTGCTACAGTGTGCAGCCTCTGCATGCAGACACTGAACTTTCCTCTTAGAGATGCATTGATTCCATTCATCTCTATGAGGAGATGCTGATTGGCCAGGGCTATGTTTGACTTGTGCTGGCGTTGCCCCTGGTCTGCCTCCCTAACAGTGAGCTGCAGACTTGAATACAAGTAGAATTTTACTATATTTAGGAAGGCAAGGGGGGACAGGAGGGCTAGATGGTGATTTTAACACTATAGGGTTAGGAATACATGTGGGGGCAGGGCCAAACATCAGCCAGCCAATCTGCATCTCCTCATAGAGATGCATTGAATCAATTCATCTATATGCGTAAAGTTAAGCATCTCCATGCATCTTTGTCCCAGAAAGCACCTCCAGTGGCCACTGAAGGTGTCCCTAGGCTTTCATGTAAACACTGCCTTTTCTATGAAAAGACAGTGTTTGCATGAAAATGCCTGCAGGGACTGACTACTCACCAGAACAACTACATTAAGCTGTAGTTGTTCTGGTGAATATAGTGTCCCTTTAATTTTTAAAATAAAGTGTCACCTAGTGCATAGCTGAAAAGAGAAATACAAAAGATTAAGGCGGAATTACATAAACTTGAACTTAAAGGGACACTATAGGCACCCAGACCACTTCAGCTCATTGAAGTGGTCTGTGTGCAGTGTCCCTATTGCACTCAGTGCTGTAATGTAAAACATTGCAGCACTAAGCCAGCCTCTTAGTGGCTGTCTACCAGATGCATTTTCCACAGATGCGCATTAGAGCAGGCTCAGTGTGGCACATTGCAGGGGGCAGAGTGTCGACCCAACGCCGAGGGATAACTGCGCTGGGATAAGGTAATTAAACAAAGGGTTATTAATCCTTTTATATACCGGGGGTGAGGGAGGGCGGTGGCAGGGGGAGCAATAGTGCAAGGGATACAGCTTTATATTCCTGGCACTATGGTATCCAAAAAAAAAAAAACTTTTATGATGTATAGAATGAAGCAAAAATACCATGTTCATGGGAATTCAGTAGGTGAAACATTGGCCTTTAGCAGAGGGAAGCACAGACTAGGATAGCTTTTATAAGATGATCTAACGAGTAAAAAGTACTTGACCCCCAGCAGATCGCTAACAAATTTGCTAAGTATTACTCCAGCCTCTCTAATTTGCAGGGTAATGATCCGATGTCAAAAGTACCTATCTCAGCAGAACAATCTCTTCTAGATTCAGCAAAAGTACCACAACTGTCCACTATGGATGGAGAGCAATTGCTCCTAGATTTTTACATAAGAGATATACAACAAGCCATACAAGATATGTCTTTAAATAAGTCACCAGGTCCAGATGGCTAGCCAAGTCTGTTACTGGATATTTTCCAAACTTGTAGCCCAATATTTATCAACTCTATTGACAGAATGTAGTGCAGACATGCTCACAGCACATAACTCTACTTTAATTAGAAAAACAACCGTGTGACTTAATTTCTGACCTTAATCCCTTTTAAATTTGGATTCCAAATTACATGCAAATATAGATTAAAATCTATTTCCTATGATTATCCATTATGATCACACAGGATTTGTACGCACTCGACAGTGTGCAGATAACTAACCCATTTGGTCCATCACTTAAATACCTACTCAATGCCGGAGTTGTTGTTGACCCTCAATGTTGAAAAAGTGTTCGATAGACTTAATTGGTTATACAGGAAGCTAGTTTTGCTTAACCCATTAAAGACAGAGGCAAATGTAATGTTCTGACAAAACCTAGAATTTTAACTATACTTCTGTTCAACCATAATTTACCTCTTTCATATTATGTGCACCCACATTTATTATATATCATTTTGTACCGAAGAAATAGGGCTTTGATTTCTTTTTTTTGTGAATATCGTTTTTTTTATTGGTTTAACGTATGATCATTTGTCATGGCAAGAGATTGGAACTCGCAGGTCTTGCACATAACTGAAGAGGTAAGATATTAAATTTTAACTGAAATAGGTTTAGACTCGCATGTCTGGTAACGTTTCTGAAAGGTAGACAAACAGGTCTCGCAGCTTACATCTTGTAACCATGATGACTGAGATTTCCATGCGGTCGTGTGACTACTTGTCTCTGTAAGTGTAATTTCATTTCATACTGTTGTGTTGCGTACAGTATGCATAATAGGTCTTTAATTTCACATCAAATATTTATATATGAAACATAATTTATATTGAATATAATCTAAAAAAGTATGAGAAATTAGGAAATGTTATTTTCCAAGTTCTGCATCACATGTTAACTTCTAAATGTCATAATACTGTTTTTTACTGCAAAAATAATTCACATATTTGTATGCTGCGATGTCTCATACGTACAACGGTGCCTCCCACGTACAGGTCTTAAGGTGTTTTGGAAAGCTAGAGAGTCAAATAAAGAGCTTGCCCATTTCAGTTTTTACACATTGAAATTTGCCAGATTGGTTTGCTGGGCATATGTTGCCTTTGAGATCGTATGGCAACTCAGGAATGAAAATTTCCCCCATCATGGCATACCATTTGCAAAGGTAGACAACCCAGGGTATTCAAATGGAGTATATCCAGCCTTTTTAAACATAGAAACATAGAATGTGACGGCAGATAAGAACCATTCGGCCCATCTAGTCTGCCCAATTTTCTAAATACTTTCATTAGTCCCTGGCCTTATCTTATAGTTAGGATAGCCTTATGCCTAATTGTAATAGCTTTTAGTCACAAACCCTGGCCATGGTTAGCTTTGCTAACCCCCCACTAACAAGGAGTCAACATCTTACAGTGAGAACAAGAGATTTGATTGTATATATAAAATATTTCACTGTTTAGTTGAGAGTCCCCCTTTTTTCGCTACAACAGGGTTCACCGTGTCTACTTACCAAGTCTGATCAGTAGAGGACAGCACCTCTCTGTTCTATCTACCAGACACTACTGTTAAAACTTACAGAGTCTGAATAGCAAAGTATAATATAAATCTGCTCCTTCTATTGGATAAAACTGCTTAAACCTATAGAGCATTTAAAGGACCACTATAGTCACCCAGACCACTACAGCTCAATTAAGTGGTCTGGGTCCCAGGTCCCCCAGGTTTTAGCCCTGCAGCTGTAAACATAGCAGTTTCAGAGAATGTTCTGACACCCTCTAGTGGCAGTCTTCCTGACAGCTGCTAGAGGCGCATCCCCGAATCTCAATGCGAAAATCGCATTGAGCACGCAGAACATCCATAGGAAAGCATTGAGAAATGTTTTCCTATGGGCCTTTTTAATGCGCGCGCGGCTCTGGCATTTGAGGGCGAGGGGAGGTCACCTGCGCCGAGGGAGCCGGGCGCTGGATAAAGGTAAGTGGCTGAAGGGATTTTAACCCCTTCAGCTCAGCGGGAGGGGGGGGCCCAAGGATTATATAGTGTCAGGAAAACAAGTTTGTTTTCCTGACACTATAGTGATCCCTTAACCTATAGAGCACTTCGCTCTTAGTTCTATTTAAGAATTTGTCTCTTTTTATTAAAAAAATTCCGTTTTTCATTTTAAGAATTATTATCCACATTTGGTGGTAATTTGGTAATAAGTGTGTTTGAATAAACTATTTTAACTGTACATATTATTAAACGTTAAGTTTTAACAACATCTTCTTACAAGGACTCCTGACGGATGAAATGACCTTACCCTAACCAACTCCTGATTTGGTTCGCTTATGTACTGGCCAAAGTTAGTGTGCATATCTTTTGCATTTTTCACACAAAACGGCACCTTCACTGATGATATCATCATCATACGTTTTACTGCTCTAAACTATTAATTTAGTGTGTTTAGTAACAGTACCCTCACATACAAGTTTTACAGTGTTTTGTAAAGTTAAAGGGTCAAATAAAGCGCTTGTCTATTTCGGTCTTCATAACCTGAAAATTTGAAAAAGTGTTTCTCTGGGCCTATGTCACCTTTGAGAGAGATTATTTTTTCTTTTTTGCAGCAATTAGGGCTACTCCACACCCATGACAAACTTATTCCAATGAAGTTGTTATAAGTACTGGAGTCCGTAGGCACCATTTTACCTTATGGGACTAAACTGTTTTCAATGACTGGACATGAGGGGTGAAGTCAAACAAAACACATTGCAAGCCTGCAAGGTAGAGATGGTGGTAGGGCCATTAATTTGGAGGGAAGAAGACACGGGAGTACCAACACGTGAGGGAGGAAAGATGAGAAGTTCTGTTTTTGACCGGTTAAGTTGTGGTGGAAGAACTTTTCCTGGAAAAGCATTTATGCTGAAAAAAGAAATTTATTCTCAAGGCATTCTTATTTCAACAAAAGTGTGAGTGGCCACTTGTCTTTTATACATTTGGTTTATTCATACACACAGTTATGTGCTATGCATTGTTCTTGTTATTCATTTAGCAGATCATCCACTTTTTTGCTACATATATTCTATTGAAGACAAGAGGAAGTCTTTGGCGAAATCCTACCTGGTTCAGAGAGGTTTTTTTCTGATATTTATCTATTGAGCACTTATTGCACTGTGGTTTGTGCACACACATTGCTTTTTGTAAGTTAAAAATGAGTAGTAACCCAATTAAATATAGCAGAGAGGCAGTCAGAGACACGAGTCAAGACGGATGGCAGAAGAGTGCTGAAAGAACAGATGTGAAGCAGTTGATAAGTGATGGGGTGAAGACCGTTAAAAAAAAACAGTTTAACCTGCTAAGGCAACACTGTTCCCAGGTACTCAATAGCAAATGTATTAAGATGAAGCTGTTATTGGGAGATGGAGTGTTTTTTTTTTAATTATATGTATTAAAATAAATAAAAGATGTAGTCAAAAGTATTGGTATCCTTCCACTTTTTTTTTTGAAAATTACACAATTTTCGATACACTAAATACAAATTTGCATAAGTAGTAGATAGCCATCATTCTTTATTTCAAATGTAATAGAACAAAATCAAACCCTAAATCACTGAATATCCTCCATGGTATACAGTAGGTATGGTGTTCTTTTCTTTGAAAGCTTCCTTATTTCTTGTGTAAACATGGAGTTATGATTTGCAAAAAAAAAAGAGCTCTACTTTTGTTTTGTCTATCCAAAGGACATTCTCCAAGATCTACATATTTTAGGTACAGTCAGTATAACTCTATTTAAACAAACACTTTAGTATTAAAAAATATTTATTTTTATTGTTAAATTGTTCCTGTGGACTTTTAGATCAGGCAACTACTCTTCCTCTTCTCCCAATCCAATGCTTCTTGTAGTTCGGGGACCTACTGGGCATGTGTAACAATCCTGCACTAAGTCAATTGGATGTTTCTTAATAAGAAGCATTCAAAGAATTTGGTGACATCATGCTTTCACATTCAGTAGCCTGACAGCTGCTACAGCCATTTTCTTGGCAAAAGTGTAAACATTGCCAATTTTTTTAAAGGACCACTATAGGCACGCAGACCACTTCAGGTAAATGAAGTGGTCTGGGTACCAGGTCCATCTAGTGTTAACCCTGCAGATGTAAACATAGCAGTTTCAAAGAAACTGCTATGTTTACATTAGGGTTAATTCACCCTCTAGTGGCTGTCTCATTGACAGCCGCTTGAGGCGCTTCCCACTGTGAAAATCACAGAGAGAAGATGCTGACGTCCATAGGAAAGCATTGAGTAATGCTTTCCTATGGACTGTTTGAATGCCCGCCTGGCTCTTGCGTATTCAAAGCTGACGTCGGGAGAGGGAGCAGAGTTCCCCAGCGCCGAGGGAACCCAGCGCTGGAGAATGGTAAGTGTTTAACCCCTTCAGCCCGGCAGGAGGGGGGCCATGAGTTTGCTTCCCTGGCACTATAGTGGTCCTTCAACAGTTTTAGACACTTAAAATGCCCATTTAATGATGAAAATGTATTTTCCAACCAAATAATTCCAATATAATAGTAACCCGCCTCCACCACATCTTCCCTGAGAGTCAAAGCTCCTTCTAAGAGAAGCCATTAGCTCCCCTGACCTAGGACCTGCAGCCCTCCATCATTGGTAGAAGAGGTATGGAGAGGCACCTCTCAATGCCAGGAAAGAAGTCAAAGTGTTCTAAGTCAGCCTGGCTACTGACAATGGGGATGTCCCTGCGCATGCTATTGTAGTTATGGTGTTGTGGGTGTTCCTTTAAATCACACAGCTAATGTTACCATGTATTAATGGGTAAACACTGCAACCAACACTCTTCATGTACTATCCACTAGCATGCAGACCGAGTAAATTCCCAACTAAATGGCTTCGTCTTTTCCCATTAGAAAACTGCGGGGAGACAGCCATACATAGCAACCACAGACATAGAACACATAGACGGCGCATTGCGTGCTAAGCGGCGAGGAACGCGGCAGCCGTCTTGGACCGGTCGCCGCTCTACTGAAGCTATTGAAGAACCCTCCATAGAAAGTCCATCTCACAAAAGGTAAGTGAAGGGCTTGGGACACTTAATACCCCTACCCATTAATACCCCTACCCATTAATACCCCTACCCCAGCACACTATGTGTATTAACACTGTGCGTGCAGCGTCTACGTGTTCTATGTCTATGATCGCAACCACTTTCTTTGCAGCACGTCATCTCTATAGCAACCGCTCAGAGCGTCGCCCTTGAACGTAACTCCTGCGTAATTACGTCATTGACCCGGAAGTGTTGTCCCGGCTGTGCTGTTTACCCCTGACCCACAATCCCTTTCTCCTTCCTTTTCGACATCGTCCCTAGGAGAGTGAGTACGTGTTTCCCAGGCCCTCCGTCACCATCGCTCTCCATCCTCGCTCTCTCTCACTGTCAGCCCAGCCGGTGCTGCCGGCAGCAATGCAGGGGAGGCCGGCCATGCCACCGCGGCCTGTATTGACGGGTTATGGCCGGGCTGCAGAGCCCATTTGGCGATGTTTATCCGGGACACCGGAAACCTGATCTCCCCAGGCCACAGCCATGGTGCTGCCGGCTCCCGGGTGCAGTGATAGGCATTGGATCCGTGTCCGGCAGAGAGTGTATACCGGTAGCTTAGCTGCCTCTCACAGTAATGTGCTGCCGTAAAAACAATAAAGTTTGTATTTCCGCCTAAGATTTTATTTAAAGCATTAGAAATTACTAAAACTCTCATTTTGCTGGGGAGGGTGTGATTGTATTAGGCATTGTGTTTATGTGTAAGTGTATTTATCCCTGCTGTCATTGGTGTGATTACAGAGATGGCCCCAGCAAAGAAGGGTGGTGAGAAGAAGAAAGGCCGTTCTGCCATCAATGAGGTGGTAACCAGGGAATACACCATTAATATTCACAAGAGAATCCATGGAATGTGAGTGTCAATCCTATCATCTTGTTGTGTTTTTTTTGTGTGTGTGTGTGTTACCAACATACTCTCCTGCATGCTACTGCCTTATTACCTCTTAGTGCTATGTTCAGCCTCCCCTGTCTCAGAAATGTCTGGAGTTGACAAGTCCATCTTGACTCCCATATCTTCTCACGCTGTCCTTTGCATTATTATGTATTGTTTGTACACTTATTTTACGTATTATTTTTCCACTTTCCTTAAAAGGCACTATTTATAAAAAAAAAAAAAAAAACTATTTCTAGAGCCGGTTAGCACGAAATTAGAAACATGTTTGTCCAACACTACCTGAAAATATTAAAATGGCTAACCGTATTCAAATGTTTAACAGATGCTGTGCCCTCTCCATTATTTGAAAATCTTATATCACAGTGTGTGGAACCGGTAGACTATCTCAGAACCATACTCATAACATATGGATTTAAGCTATTTATAACTATATGGTGTTTATGGAAATATACCACAATTAAAAGAAGCATGTTTTGTTTTGTTTTTTCTCCTGCACTCTTTTAAAATATCCTTCCTATTTTATAATGTATGTTACTCGGTTTTCTTTCCTAATTCTACAAAAAAAACTAAAGGTTATTACTAGTTTAAAAAAATTCTAGCTGAAAAATAAAACTACTGTATTCATCATTAAGGTGATAGTGTAGATATTTAAAGATGTTAAAGGTCCCTGTCATGCATTACAAGAGTTCCAGTTCAATCTGCAAATAAGCACTGTGCAAGACAAATTTGATTTGGAGAATAAACTTCTCACGAACCCTGTCTAATTTTTACTTGAACGATTTGTTTTCCAGTTAGATTAGAATGGATGCTAGGTACAGCTTAGAGATGCATAAAACATTTTAGTTTCTACTCTCAAATTGGGTGGGTAATGGATAATTTTCCTAACTGCAAGTCTACCTGTTTAGATATTTGGACAAAGTGATTTGGGTTTAATTATTTGTAGAATAAAACAGGATACTTTAAAGTGGAGCTAACATGAGATTTGTGCTCTACCGAATTTGGTTGCAGCATTGGCAATTAATAAAATAAAGGAGGGGGATCTCTAGCTAGCTAATTATTTTGTTTAAGGTACAGGCCTTTCCAGCCATAGGATGTTAGTTTAATCCCTGCAGTCCTGTATGGACAGCACTGTTAAAAGAATTCAAGAACATGCATGTACTTGGACAGCATTTCTCTGTAGATGTATGAGACAACATAGGACTGTGAAGTTGTCCACTATACAGAAGTGCGGCAAAGATTTTGCTAGATTTTATGCATATTGGTGTAGTCCATAATGTTTGTGCCATATTTAGGAGACCCCAGATTCATTGATCTATCTCTTTAACCGATTGTCCACATTCAAAGTTTAACATAAGTGCTTATTTCTCACAAGCTAATTATTTTGGTTAATTTACTTTTGCTTTATCTAATACAAAAATATGTCAAGACTACTACTGTTGGAAACCTTATTTTTATTTTAATGGTTTTTCTTTCTCTTTTCTTTCAGTGGTTTCAAGAAACGTGCACCAAGGGCTCTGAAGGAGATACGCAAATTTGCTGTGAAGGAGATGCGTACTCCTGATGTGCGTATTGACACAAGGCTAAACAAAGCTGTCTGGGCCAAAGGCATTAGGTAAGTTTCAAGATTGTGATCTATCTATATATGGCGTTAGATTGCTTTACATAGACTGTATTTACTGAGTAGATGACGTGAAAAATTTGTTAATGTGTAGACTGAAATATAGTACAAATGTATTCATTTTGTGTTTATTTCTAGAAATGTTCCATATCGTATCCGTGTGCGTTTGTCCAGAAAACGTAACGAAGATGAAGATTCTCCTAACAAGCTATACACATTGGTCACATATGTGCCAGTCACAACTTACAAAGGTAAGGCCTTTTCTTAAAGTGGCACTGCTATTTCTCCCTCCTGCAAAACTAGTATTTTCCTAAAAAGAAAATCTTTATGAAAAATTTCTATTGACTGTGTTAGGATTTCACTGAAATTCCAACCTAGAAAAAATAGGTGCTATTTTGTCTCCGTATTTTTCCGATATTTGACAGAGCTACTGCCACCTAGAATTCTCAATCCCACAGCAGCCACCAGTGACTGAAGCAGGAAAGTAGCTCCATCTATAGAGGATCCCGCGGTATCATGGTGTCCTCTATAGCAGGATTGCCCAAAAGGTAGATCCCCAGATATTGTAGAACTACAGCTTCCGTGAAGCTTTGTCATTCTAAATGCATTCAAAGCCTCATGGGAGTTGTAGTTCTAAAACATCTGGGGATCTACCTTTTGGGCACACCGGCTCGATAGACTGCAATGGTGTACTCTTGCGCACCGGAAGAAGATTGTGGTGCACATGAGTTACAGGTTTAGACATGTTAAATTTGCCTTTGCCTGGTGTGGTGTGAGTATTTTTGTATGATAGAACATTTTATCACCACAGATCAGGATCTTGTAGGAATGTTTCTCAGCTAAGTTAGGACTTTCTTTCGTTTGGCTGAAATGTGTATTGTGTGTGTTTTTTTTTTTTTGTTTTTTTTTATTTTTATTTATAAACCCTTCTGGGTACACTCACACCCTGAAGGAGCACCCGATAAAGTATCTTGCTAAAATCAACCAGAATATCTGTATACTTTTTTGTTTGTTTGTTTGTTTGTTGTGGGGGGTGGTTACTGGTCAAGAAAATGTTAGACTTCGTGTCAAGGTATTGTGGTTTTTGTCTTTCCATGGCTTTCTATTGTTGGCTATACTGAACCATCTATTCTTTAGTGGTAATAACTCTGTAGTATGGGAAAGGTATTTACCTTTCAAGATATTATTTTATCTACTGTCGCGGAATTCATATGCTCTTAAATATAAAGCATATATGCTGCCCATTGGTGGATCTTTTAACATTGTAGTGGCTTAACCACCAGCAGATTACTTTGCGATCACTGCTGCACACCCATGGTGACATTTTCATTTTATTTTTTAAATCTGCACTCTTGGCAGCATAACCACTACAGCTCATTGAAAAGGCAGTGTTTACTCCTCAGATGGCCACTGGAGGTACTTCCTGGCTCAATGCTGCACAGTAGGCAGCTCTGCTGTTCAGCATCCCCACGCTCTGCATGCGATCCTTAAAGACTGTTTTGTCTGATGTATCTGATACGTCCTTGGTCAGGAAGTGGGGGCAAGCCACCTTAATGGTGTGTTTTGCACTGTAGGGTCAGGAATACATGTTTGTGTTCCTGACCCTATAGTGTTCCTTTAACATGTGGTAGTGGAAAGCGTGAAAAATGTGTCCCTTTTATTAATTTAAAATTGTTATGAAATAAAAAAATTCTTACGTCTGAATGACAGTGCTGCTTTAAAATGATTCTCCAGTGCAAGGATGGTTTCCTATGGGGATTCCGGCGACGCTGGAGGTCCTCGTGCATAGCATGAGGACGTCCAGCATCATTTAGACTGACGGAAATCCCTGTAGTTGCTCTCTGGTAGACAGCCACTAGAGGAGGACTTAACCCTGCAAGGTAATTATTGCAGTGTATAAAAACTGCAGTAATTACAATTGCAGTGTTGTTGCCATGGGAGTTGGCACCCAGGCCACTTCAATGAGCTGAAGTGGTCTGGGTGCCCAGTGTCCCTTCAAGAAGTGAAAGTGGAACACCTCTGTATCTTGGAAATCTAGATGTATTTGTGCTCTGTTTTTATTAACAAGGTTATCAGTGTGAATCGTCAGAAATTCAAAGTGAATTTCAAAACTTAAAGGACCACTATAGTGCCCTGAGGGTGCCCCGACCCTCAGGGTCCCCCTCCCGCCTGGCTCTGGAAGGGGAAAAGGGGTTAAAACTTACCTTTTTCCAGCGCTGGGCGGGGAGCTCTCTGCCTCCGATCCTCCTCCGTTTCTCCCCGTCGGCTGAATGCGCACGCGTGGCAGCCGGTCGCATAGAAAAGCATTATCAATGCTTTCCTATGTACGCTTGCGTGCTCTCACTGTGATTTTTCACAGTGAGAATCACGCAAGCGCCTCTAGTGGCTGTCAATGAGACAGCCGCTAGAGGCTTTGGGGGAAGGCTTAGCTGGACCTGGCACCCAGACCACTTCATTAAGCTGAAGTGGTCCTTTAACTCAAAATACCAACATGAAAATAAAGCTAATTTCAGTTTGAATTCACTTTTAAGTCACACTTTAGTGTATAACCTATTGGTGTCTGTTTACATTACGAGGAGATCGGAGTTGTTAGTAAAGCATAAGGCATGTTTGCAAGAAGTTTTTTTTGGATGTTGGTATGACTGCTGTCAGTGTATTGAGCGGTCTCACCCGTTAAGTTTGAATGTAACTGTGGCTAAGCTATATATCGCAAACACTGGCTATGCATGTTTTAAATTCATGGTCATTTATTACCCTGCAGTTGTTGTTTTTTACTGGATTTTGTGTGTAATGAAGTTTCCCAACAAATTCTCAATCCTTTCTACATTATTTTTACATTATTATTTTTGTGTTGACACTCCCTCAGCTCAATCTTCTGTCAGATGGGGAGAAAGATCAGGGAGCACGAGGTGGTTTGTGTTCTGGTGTTAGATGCCAGTTTTGCATAGAATTCACACCCATCTGGAATTTTAGTTGCAGGCTGGCTAATGATGTCCCTATAATGCTGCTAGAGGTGGCGTTACACTATTAGTGCAGCGTTTCAAAGAGAATTTAGGCACATACAGATGCAAAGGGCCATGACCACTTTAAATCAATTAAGTAATGAAGTGGGCATGGTGCTTGGAATAACCCTTCAAAGGAATACAGTAATCAGAAGTCAGTTTTCTAGCTTTCATGCTTACCATTTCTGACTGTCATCTTTATGCACCTGTGCTCAGATTGTCAACTGTTTGACTTGTGTTCACTATTTTGTAACTGTTCATTTCTTTTTGTAATAGCCTGGGAGAAAATTCTCCAGGCAGAATTAGTGCTTAATTATACCATACACAGGATAATTTCAGAATAGTGAGCATTGGGTCAATCTGTCCTAATGTGCATAAAGATAGCTGTCCAAAAAGGGAAAGGTGGAAAGATAGGCCATGAACTTCTAATATCTTAGAGCTATATGAATTTAAATGAAATTATTTATTATAACTAAGATTAAATGTGAAAGGCTTTGTTACCTTTTTAAGGAAGGTTCTATTTCCGTTGACTAGCTAATTTACCCACAATCAATCAGTAAAAGAATACCAGTGAAAGGCAAACTACAGACATTCAGGGACAGAGGAGAACAAATTTTGATATTGAGTTACAGTGCAAGGAAGTAAAATAATGTATAAAGGCATGTGGTGGTATTGAGACAGAGGAGAAAATGGAAAAAAAAAAAGAACTGATAGTTAAAATAAGTATTTCCAGCTATTGTTTTCCAGTCTAACAGTACACTATGCATTTTATTCTACAGAAGCATCTAGGTAGTTTTCTTGCAACCAGTTTCATAGCTTAGTTGTTCAATTTACCAGATCTATAATACCTGTTTATAGTTCTGGGGTAATGGTTTTATATCTCTGCATAGCTAACAAATCTTGTCCTAGTAGATATTGGCGACCATGTAAGTGCTAATTCATAACTTGTACTCGTAAGCAGCAGGCTAAGTCTCCTTGGGGAGACAATCATGATGTCATTACATTTTAAGAAATGGCTCTATATTGCATTTACATTTTGCTTTTCCAAATAGTGTTATTGTGTGGTTTAAAAAATGTTAACTTTTTTCTTTTCTTTTTTTTTTTTGTAGGATTACAGACCGTCAATGTGGATGAAAACTAAATTGCTTTTTGCTGTTATAATAAAATATTAAAACAGAGTAATTGTGTTTTTTTTTAATATTCAATGTAAATTTGTGTCTGCACTGCATTTAGTACTGCAAATTTTTGGTAACCTTTGTTCCTTCTAAACGTAGAGCTAAATTCTGCATTATAATGACCCATGTTTTCTTTTTATCAAAAAGGGTCTGTTTGCTAAACTCAGAATTGTGGAGTATAGACACAACTATAGATTTAAAGCCAAAGTTGAAAATTATTTGGTTTGTAGTTTTTTTTCCTAAATCCATTTTTGTATGAAGTTGACATTTTCAGTATACATATTCCTGAGTTGTTTAGTAAATAACCAGTGTGCAGCTACCAGTTTTAAAATGTACCAATCTTAGTTTTAAACAATATTAGGGGACCCAGAATGTAGTGCTGTACTGCCCTAAAGCTAAATTTGTTGTGCTGAGGGTGGGGGCACCCTCAGGGCATTATAGTGCCAGGAAAACAAGTTTTCCTGGCACTATAGTGGTCCTTTAATCAATCTAAAGAGCATATCAAATTTTTAGATTTAGAAATTTATATTAACTATACTATCCATACTAAAACTTTTAAAAAGACTACCTTGCAATTGTTTTATTACTGTTTATAGCTGTCCCAAAAAGTCATTGATAGATGATATTTCCAATAGTCTGCTTTGGACACTTATGAGGAATTGTTAAGAACTAGAGGTGTGTTACCTTTTAGATGAATTTTAATCTCAACAAAGCCTTCAAACGAACAATTGAAATTCCTAGAGGAGAAATTCTGACCAAGAAAATCAAAGTTGATGAGTTCTACAGAGTTCCTGGTATTATCAACAAACAATTGGATATTTTACAATGAGATCCCATTCTTCGTAATTTATTACTAACTAAGCCAATAATTTATTTTAAAGCTCCAAGTTAGCCCCACTATTAAACAGAGCAATAATAAAGTAGGTTTTTGCAAATGCAATGGATGTAGAAACAATCCAACCCAAGAACTTGTAATTATGGAATTCTATGGTAGGAAAATTAGAACTCATTTAAATTGTGAAACTTTAGATTTGATTTATCTAATGCCTCTGCAAAAACTATATGTAGGATCCTTCATAGAGCTCAATGCTGTAATTTCGTATGTGTGAAAATACAGCAGTGACTTGTCTCCTGGCACTAAAGTGCCAAGAACAGAAGAGGTCTAGCCGGAATAATTTTCGATAAGCTTTCACAATGAGATTGGATATCCAACGTCTTAGAATTGAAATGGCAGACATTTCTTTTCTAGACCCAGTTTGAAGATACCTCTGGGTGTAACTTCCACTCTCTTGGGTGAACAACTGATTTGTTTAGATAATCTGCCTATAGATTTTTCTGGTCCTGGTAGATATTACGCTTTCAGACCCGAAGATTGTATTGAGTGAATTTCATTAGAGCACTCAACTCTTTCATATGACTTTTGCTCCGGGTCCCACTTTGGTAATTGAGATAGGATGCTACTGCCCAGTTGTTTGTCTGTACCAATATCCATGAGTTTTCTAAATAGGGAATAAATACATTTAGACTTCTGTAAATTGCTCTCAGTTCTGAGGTTAGAATGTAATATTATTATTTTTTTTCCTGTTAATACTATCTGCCTTGTTTCCATAATGAGCTCCCCATCCACGAAGGCTTGCATTTGTAGATTCAGTATGTGAACTCGGATTTAATAATGGGAAACCTTGAGATACAGTTGCAAGAAAAAATATGTGAACCCTTTGGAATGATATGGATTTCTGCACAAATTGGTCATAAAATGTGATCTGATCATCATCTAAGTCACAACAATAGACAATTATAGTCTGCTTAAACTAATAACACACAAAGAATGAAATGTTGCCATGTTTTTATTGAACACACAATGTAAACATTCACAGTGCAGGTGGAAAAAGTATGTGAACCCTTGGATTTAATAACTGGTTGAACCTCCTTTTGGCAGCAATAACTTCAACCAAACGTTTCCTGTAGTTGCAGATCAGACGTGCACAACGGTCGAGTAATTCTTGACCATACCTCCTTACAGAACTTTCAGTTCAGCAACATTCTTGGGATGTCTGGTGTGAATCGCTTTCTTGAGGTCATGCCACAGCATCTCAATCGGGTTGAGGTCAGGACTCTTAACTGGGCCACTTCAGAAGGCGTATTTTCTCCTGTTTAAGCCATGTTGTTGATTTACTTCTATGCTTTGGGTCATTGTCCTGTTGCAACACCCATCTTCTGTTGAGTTTCAGCTGGTAGACAGATGACCTTAAGTTCTCCTGCAAAATGTCTTGATTAACTTGGGAATTCATTTTTCCTTTGATGATAGCAATCCGTCCAGGCGCTGACGCAGCAAAGCAGCCCCAAACCATGATGCCTCCACCACCATACTTCACAGTTGGGATGAGGTTTTGATGTTGGTGTGCTGTGCCTTTTTTTCACCACACAGTGTTTTGTGTGTTTCTTCCAAACAACTCAATTTTGGTTTCATCTGTCCACAGAATATTTTGCCAGTACTGCTGTGGAATATCCAGGTGCTCTTGTGCAAACTGTAAACGTGCAGCAATGTTTTGTTTGGACAGCGGTGGCTTCCTCTGTGGTATCCTCCCTTGAAATCCATTCTTGTTTAGTGTTTTACGTATTGTAGATTCGTTAACAGGGATGTTAGCATTTGCCAGTGGCTTTTGTAAGTCTTTAACTGACACTCTAGGATTCTTCTTCACCTCATTGAGCAGTCTGCGCTGTGCTCTTGCAGTCATCTTTACAGGATGGCCACTCCTAGGGAGAGTAGCAGCAGTGCTGAACTTTCTCCATTTATAGACAATTTGTCTTACCATGGACAGATACTTCTATAACCCTTTCCAGTTTTATGCAAGTCAACAATTCTTAATCGTAGGTCTTATGAGAGCTCTTTTGTGCGAGGCATCATTCACATCAGGCAATGCTTCTTGTGAAAAGCAAACCCAGAACTGGTGTGTGTTTTTTATAGGACAGGGCATCTGTAACCAACACCTCCAATCTCATCTCATTGACTGGACTCCAGTTGGCTGACATCTCATTCCAATTAGCTCTTGGAGATGTCATTAGTCTAGGGGTTCACATACTTTTTTCACCTGCACTGTGAATGTTTACATGGTGTGTTCAATAAAAACATGGCAACATTTCATTCTTTGTGTGTTATTAGTTTAAGCAGACTGTGATTGTCTATTGTTGTGACTTAAATGATCAGATCACATTTTATGACCAATTTGTGCAGAAATCCATATCACTGCAAAGGGTTCACATACTTTTTCTTGCAACTGTATATGCTTCTTTTTCTCTACCATCATAACAAATTTGTCACACACATTCTATTTGAATTGAACGAATATTCCACTGGGTTCATCTCACTATTCTGATAATAAAAGTAAGTGACCCCAGCAGGCTCCTAAAGATATTTGCTGTCCAGTATGATTTTAAGTGGAGATCTGCATTTTATTTTATTTTTTTGTGGTTATCTTACAATCCAGTTCCTTACAGCTCCTAAAATATCTTCCTTTGCAATGTAGTTGGTGAACTCTTCAATTTTATTTTCCATCCATGATTCGAAAGGCAATTGACAACCTTTTTGGTAAGAAGAGACACTGTTCTTAGATGGACCAATTATCAGGATATCGTCTAGTAATGCTAGATTTCAATGTTTTGTTTCCTGAGAAAGTCCTTGGAGCCAGACTGACTCCGAACAGGAGACCCCTGAATTGGTAGTTTCTCTCTAAAACCCAGAAATGAAGAAACTTGAGATGACTGTTTATAGGAATCTGATACACGTCCTTGAGGTTGGTAGACATCGGATTCCAATCTCCTTTTTTTATATTTGGAAGAATAGAACATATAGATTCCATCTTGAAAGTTTTTGGTTTTAACAGAGGATTCACCTTTTTTTAGCTTTAGAGTGAGTCTCCATTTTCCCTGTGGTTTTGGTGCTAAGAATACCGTTGAATAGAAGCCTTTGTAGTGTTCTTCGTAAAGGTACTTCTATCATTTGGTGTTCTAGAAGTTGAAAAATGCATTCTTCCATTTTTTTCCCTTTTTGCAACTCACGATCTCTTGAATGTGTCCCTTTTAACCCCTTAAGGACGTGTGGCATGTCATGATTCCCTTTTATTCCAGAAGTTTGGTCCTTAAGGGGTTAAAAGAGCAAGAACCCAGGGATAAACCCAGGGTAAAAAAAAAAGATCAGGTTTTCCTCCTATAACGTGCAGAAACATTAACTGGAAGGTCTCAAACCTCATCCTCTAGGAGATTTATTTGTTGAATTGAAAGTTTCCACCATTTAAAAGGCAGCAAGTTACCATTTTGTTTTTTTAATTTTATATGTTGGAAGTCAGGAAAATTGGCACGCAAAAAGATCTAAATTACTTTGACATGGAACAAATTGTGATGACTGGATGAGAACATATCCAAAATGGCAAGTCTTGTGCAGTGTTCCCAGTATGCAGTCATTAGTATCTGCCAAAAGTGGTGCAAGTAAGGACAACCGACTTCAGGATCATGGGTGCCAAAGACTTATTGATGCAAGTAGGGAGCAAACATTGTTTACCTGATGAAGAGATGCCAACAGGATGCACTATGGGAAGGAGGCAGGCCAGCAGATTCAGTATTATGCTCAGGATACAATATTCTGCTGAGAAATCTTGTATCCTTGCATTCACGTAGATGTTACTTTGACACTTCTATGTACCTAGAGATTGTTGCAGGCCACATACACCCCTTCATGGCAATGGTGTTCCCTGAATGAATGCAGTGGCATTTCAGCAGGATATTGCACACTGTTTAAATTGTCGCCTTTGCCCACCAATTTAGCAGGTGTAAAGTTGATTAAGCATCTATGGGATGTTTAAACTGCAAATCTGATCCATGGAGGCCCCTTCTCACAACTTGAAGGAAGGGCAAACCCATTTTTTCCTCCAAATAAAATATTTTTTTTTTACTTTGAACAGAATTAAGAAAACTGCAGGGGGAAGTATGTTTGGTAAAATCATGAAAATGTATAGTACCTTCAGCAACATAGACATCTTGATTGTGTTTTTCTGGCATGCTCAGGACACCGAAATATCCTTCCAGAAATGTAATTCTTGCACTAATTGGTTGACCATAGGTGAATGATTAGCTTTGTACAGGGAATCACTTGCAATTTTTACATCCAGGTATGCTAATTGGCATTTCAAACTTGAAGGATGCTTGTAAGGCCTGGGTAGTAGGTCTAGATAAATTAACCAGAAGTGCTTGAGTCTCAGATTCATTAAGTCTGTAGTAAGACACTTCCGAAGGCACAAGAAAAGTCTGCTCCAATATGCTCAAAATCCTATAAATAAGCCACAGATGTTTTGAGATTCTGTTCTGTTGAGCGATGAAACAAAACCAATGGCCAAATGTATCAGTGGTATGTCTGGATGA